GCCCTGGACACTGCCCTGTTCCCCTGTATACTCAGAGCCCCTCCCGCCCTGGACACTGCCCTGTTCCCCTGCATATTCAGAGCCCCTCCTGCCCTGTGTCCTCTATGGGGCTGGTGACTAAGTCTTTTCCCAGGTGGAATTTGGTTTCCACATCATCCTTCCTTGCTGTCCTAGGGTATACCCCGCCCCACCTCCAGGTGCCAAATCCTTAGAGGAAAGCTCAGAGATGCACCTGTACCCACCTGCTCTCCAGCATGAAATGCACCCCAAACTTCTGGGAAGCATGCACTAGATCATGGGGAACAGTGGAAGGGTGCCTTGGCAGGCTTGGCCTGTTGTCGCCAGAGCTCAGAGGTGCCCAGCTAGAAGAGGCTGCAGGGCCGGCAGTGTCCACTAGGTGACAGCAGCAACAGAGAGACCTAGGGACTCAGACCCACCAGAAGGGGAGTCCTTCCAGCAACAAACAACATTTAGGGTTAAAAAATCAAGAGAAAACTTCCATACAAGGGTGCTGACACTTGAATTTGGGCAGATGCTGGCGTGGCTGGCAGGTGGACCCTCACCGTCCACCCAAGGCTGGTTGACACAGTCAGAGAACTGCGGCAGGGTAGGCTGGGGACTGGGACTGCAGGCTCTGTAGGCAGTCCCCTACCCAGAGTTAGGACACCAACTGGTGGGGGGCTCAATGCCTCAATCCATATCCAGGGAGCCCCAAGCCTGTGGGACTGTGAAAACCCTGGGGAAGAGGCGACCCCTCCATGCAGGCTCGGGAGGGCAGCAGGCAGAGGAAAGGAATCCCCATTGGGCCAACAAAGGAAGATCTGGGATGAGGGCCACAAAAGGAGCCAGAGCCCAGAAAGGACACTGTGCTTCTCGCCCACCCAAGGGCCTGCCAGCCTAGAGCAGAACTCTGCCATCCCTGCCTCCTCTCCCAGCCTCTGACAGGCCTCCCTGGGCTGACGTAGCACTACGTGAACCCCATGAGAAAAGCCCTGTGTGGCAGCAAACAGGTGGACACCTATGACACCTTACTGGACTAGACCAAGGGAGTCTAGAAGTGCCTTCCCCAGACTCCCAGGAAAAAGGGGAGGGCCCCCCTGGTCAAGCGAGCTGCAGTCCTGGCCCTACATGGTTCAGAACCTGGACGGAAGGATGTGCAGGTGGGAGCCAGCAGCATTAACTATGGCTGCAAGTCTTTAACCTGCCTCCGACTCCACGGCACATAACAACAACAACAACCCATCAAGAGGCAAGACCTCTTGAACCTTGGGACTGGGGGGCACCAGGGCCTGTGGGGCCATGGGTGAGCTAAGCGGGGGCAGCCCAAAGTGCCAGCCTCACCCAGCTTGAGCTCTATGCAGCTAAGCCATGCGCACAAGTCTGCACCCTGTTCCTCCCCGAATATCTTATTGCATCATTTGAATTACCCAGGCATGTCACCTGTTCCAAAGAATCCTACTTAAATTTCAACACATAAATTCTTCACTTTAAAAAGGGGCGGATCCCGAAGGCTGCTAATGAGCTATGAGCTGGGTTCACCACGAACACCAAGAACACTGAACAGGAAGGTCCACCCAATACTGGACTTAATTTAGGGAGATGCGCTTTCGTCATTTTGAAAAAGTGAAACATTTCCTATGATTCTGCAAGCCAAAGACAGCAGCAGTCAGCATGGTCCTTCACAAAGTAGCCATGCTGGGGTCAGAGCTAGTGGTCCTCATGGTGGACACTGGGGACACTGACCCTAGCTCCCCCCCCCGTCCTCTGCATTAGCAAACACGTCAGTCTGTCTAACCAACCGCACGTTCCTGGTATGGAAACAGACTTCCAGGACACTAGAGCCGTCTGAAGTATAAACTGTCATAAATTAGTTTTGAGAACTTTTAGTTAATTGTTAAATTGAGCTTTTAGGCTACTTTCCCTGAAAGAAGAACAGGTTTCAGCTGTGCCCATCCTGGAGACAAGAGGCACAGATGTCCCTACTCACAGTCCTTGTAGGACTCCCGTGGGTCAGCCCAGCTGCTCTGCCCACTTCACGAAGGGCACAAGCCCCATCCCAGGCTCTGCTGAGACCAGGTCTGGCAGGGTCAAGAGTCCACCTTTGTCCCGGGTTGGTGACATGGCTTTTCCCAGTGCCTGGAGTTCAGGCACCCAGTTCCAAACAGGGCTCCCCAGAAAGCTGTAGGAAAGGCTGGCACAGCCCCTCCACCCACCTGTGGCTCCTCAGTGGGTTTCCCTGTCCTGTCGTGGCCCTCGTCTCCACTGCTGTCCCCACTGCTGTCACTGCCCGAATCTTCCAGGCCGGAGAAGACGCTCTCCTCACTATCAGAGAGGCCGGAGTCACTGGCATCGCTTCGAGTGGGAGCTGGACCGAGGAGAGCAAGCTGCAGGGGAGCAGAAGGTTCATTCCAGTCAGAGCCTGCCCTCCCACAAGCCCCTGCGCTGAACAGGGACGCACAACTGAGCCAGCTCTTCCAGAGGAAGTCAGCCTCGGCCCACCTTCCACCCGCATCGCCAGTCCCCCTCCAACAGCCCACAGACACATTTTAAACAGCAACATGCTCTTCTAAGCGCCAAATGAAGCTGCCTCCACCTCACCCGGGCAATCGAGGCTCCTCGAGCCCTAAGGGCACTAGGAATGGCATCAGGAGACAGGAAAAGAACACAGTGCACGAGGGGCTTTGACCCCCTGAAGCAAAAGCCGTCTCACTGGGGAGGACAAACAAGATGGCAGATCGGGTGGCAGTGCAGTAAAGGAGCTCCGCCAACAACAACAACACAGAATACAGGACCAAGCAGGCTCAGGGCTGGTCCCAGAACTCTGAACCACATAGAAGGAATATTTAGAAGGTTGGAAGGCTCACAGCTGAGGGAATTTGTGGCAGAAGCAAGAAATCTATTACTTTCTAATTCAAGGTGCTCAGCTGCTCCAGGAGCCGCCATCTTGGGTGAGACCACGCGGGGGAAGGATCAGATCAGCTACAGACGCCAGACAGAACCGCTGAGATAAAGGTGTGGACATTCTTTTCTTTTGGTAGCTGTTCATTGGTCCCTTGCTGTCTGCACACCTCCATTCTGGTGACTACAGGGGTGCCTGAGCTAGTGGACACCCCAGCCCCACCCTCGGAGGGTTCTACTACACATGCGCACAGATCTCCTTGAAATTTAAAGAGACAGTTTCCACTTAACACCAAACAGCCACAGTCGGCCCTGAACTGTTTATAACTAGAAAAAAGGCCTGAATGGGGATTGTAGAGCGGGACAAGCAGACAAAAAAGGAAATAGGCCGAAAATTAAATCCTAAGTTAAAACAACTAAAACAGTGGCATCTTGAAATTTCTCAAGAAGAGTGAAAAGGGAAGCCCATTTCCTGATCACATCTTCCTGAAGGCAATCAGAAAGAATAAAAAATACCAAAATACACACCCATCTGAGTAGTAAGGCCAAAGATAACCCCTGAATATATCCAAAAAACAAGCAGACAACCATATCTGTACGTAATGTCCAGAAACGAGATAAAGTGACTGAGGCAAATGAGCTGGAAGTAGACCTACACTCCATACTGGAAGATGGGCAGGCTTTGGAAATGCCTGAGAAGG